CCCCAAAACCCCAAAACCCCACCTTTCAAAATTTCTTGAATAATATATTGATGAAATCATTAAATTAGTCGATATTAGTTTTAGTTAAGATAAGTTCAAATTTCATTCATATTTTGTTGAGAATACTAAGTTTAGTGTCAATAGCTTGAAGCAATATGCTGTCTATTTCTTGATTATTAGTTATATTGTCTATATTCTTGACTTTGTTAAGCTTTTGTTTTCTGAGAGCTTTTTCTTCTAAAAGTTTTATCTGAGATGTTAAATTATCAAACCTAAAATATTTTTCCTCACTTAACTTGCTAAGTTCCTTCTTAAGGTGAATAAAACTTTTATCCTACAAGCTTGAGTTTGTAATGGAAATGCCATCAGACTCTTTCTCATTATTTAGTCTATCCAATCTCATTTTAGTCAGATAGTCTATTTTCATTGGATTAACGGATACTCTTAAGTTCTCTACATTTTTCTTAAGGTGATGATGATCATTTCTTCTTTAACTTTTAGTAAAAACTGTGGTCGGCGTTAAATCTTATTCTTAAGATTAGGTATCTGGAGTTTATTAATGGTCTGTATAAGATTTGTGCTAGATTTAATAAGACTGTTTCAGATCTTAAAGACTTCTAAGATTTCTCGTTGAAGATTGAGTATTATTTCTATTCTATTTCCTAACATCTTAGAGATAATCCTGATAAGGATTATTTTGACTAAATTATATCCGTTTCTTAATATCTTATTTGGAAAGTAATTATTTCTAGGCCTATATTTGCTAAGTGAGAACCTCACTTATTCTAGGCTTACGCTCCTCCCTAATAAATTTAGCATAGATTACTCGTTTCTAAATTTTCTCTTGAATGCTTTTTAATTGAAGCTCTCTAGCTTGCTTTAGAGCCAATTCTTCCTCAATGATTATTGTGTGGAATTTAGTCCTTGGAGGAGATACAGAGAATTCTTTGGGTACTTTTTCAAACAGTTTTTCTCTTTCTTACCTTCTCCTCTACTCTTTTTCATAATTCAATTCATTCAGTTTTAAGAAATACTTAGCTTCATGATCTCTAAGCTCATGAATAGACATCTTTTGATCGCTCATAAATTTCTTTCTTTCCTCAAGAAACCTAATTTCCTCTTCCTTTTGCTTATAAACATACTCTTTATTGAATTTATCTTCAAGCTTGTCATGCATATATTCAACATTCTTCAGTCTTTCCTCATCAATATTCTATTTATTCTTTCTTTCGATCTCTCTTTAGTGACGCTCTCTAGCCTTTTATTCAAGTTTTAGGCGTCTGTGCTCAATTTCACGAATTTGATCTTCCTGCTGCTTTTTGAAAAGCTCTTACTCATCAAGAAGCTTTTTATGATCCTCTTGCTCTCTAAGTTACTACATCCTTTAATTATGCTGTTGCTTTTCTAGTTAAACCATATCATACCATCTTTTACCCTTTTTAAGTTTTTATTTCAAATTATTTGATGAATAATCTATTGACAAACTATGGTGTTTTCCTCTTATGTCAAACTATTCTTCATCTGCGAAAAAATTCTTATCTACGAGGATAGACCTCGATATCTAAGAATTATTTATGAATTTTACAAATTGACTTACATCTGGAAGAACTGATTTTTTCCTAAGGTAAAAATCCTGATTAACATGGCTCTCTAAGTATTTTAAGATTTTCTTTTTCTTTTATTGTTGAACATAGTGTTAAATCTCTTGCCTAACATCAATCTAGTTATTGACATTTATATCTTAATCTTAGGTTATAATGTTATTTATCACTGCTAGAAATGATTCGTTTATTGCTTCCTTGGCAACCTATACTAGGATATTAAAAATGTTAAAATATAATAAATAAATGCAAACATACATCTAAAGTGAATTCTGACTATTTAGATTCTTCTTTTATTGACTGAATTCTTTGCTGTAAATGTTTTAATACTTGGTTCTCAGGTTTCTTGTACATAACAATTTAGTTATTTTTGTGATCACTGTAAGGTTTTTAATAGCTCAAAGATATATCATTGATATTTTTATGTGTGATATCAATAGTCGACCTATTATTTCTGCTATATTTAGCTCGTGACATATTATTTAAATTATTGATTTACAATTTTCTCAAATATCATTTATCCCCAAATATTAATATACGGGGTTTTGGGGTTTTGGGGTTTTGGGGTTTTGGGG